TCGGGTACACTTAGAAATCAAGACGGTTGCACCCCCAGGCTGTCAGCTGATTGGCCGAAAACCATTGTACCCATTTCTGAAGAAACCTCCATCGAGGTACAACTTCCGCTGGAGATAGCACCCTCTGGTGCAACCGATATTGGTTACTGGTGTACCCGGAAAGGGTCCATTTTGTACCCAGAAATGGTCAAATAATCCCGGCGCCCGACGACTCTAAAACCCGCAATAAAAAACGTATACCGCACATACATACCCGCACGACACACCGACACACCATACACCGCACATACCCCACAGCAGTAGTAGCCACACAAACCACCAACGCTTGTTGACGGGCACATTGCCTCCAAGGATACCAATCTCCGACAGTCTCCTCCGTAGATCGCGACGAAACCAACCGCCGTGCTCTGCTGCTGCTGCTGCTGCTGCTGTTGCTGCTGTGCTGCTGTCCCTCGGAAGCATGAGGCAGGTCGTGCCCGTTTTGTCTCCCTGTCCTAACCAATTGTACGAGCACCACGAGGAGCTAACGCGCGGATAGAGCGAGTTCGACCCCCTCCTCTATCTAGGAGAGGGGCGCGGGCCCACGAGTCGATAAATACGTGAAACTAGCCTGACTGGTGAAATAGCCAACGGGCACACAGGAGCCGCAACACCCGCAAATGACGATCTAATGGCGATCGGATCTTCCTTCATTATGGAGATGCTGGTGGTGTGGACGTCACCCTCGCAAGATATAGCAGAGTGTCTCTAATGTGCGACATGATAGCAGGTCGCTGTTGATAGCTACAGAAACATTACACACACATTGCCCACCCATTCAGTGTTGTCAATTTTCCCAACCACACACACACAAATATAAGTTCATGGTAGATAGAAGAAGTGTTTTGTGTTTTCAACCGCACTACGACTGACGTCTTTTCATTGGTCAGCCGGTTAGCGCGGTCGATGCTAATAATAAAACACAAACACACACACCCTTGCGGACGCGCTGCTCCGCAAGGGATTTTACCAGGGAGCTACGAGCACGGAGCTACGGCCATTATGCATACCTGTTTGGCTGTGCCAGGTGCTGTGTATTTCCGTCTTCTTTCCGCGTGCATGTTCGGGTGTTAATCGAACGCACGGCGGTGGCGTGCACCAACAACCGTCAACGTCCAATTCGGTCCACTCGGTCCCAGGCTCAATGCCTCGCGTCGTCACCAACACTGTAGAGAAGAGGTAGATGTTTTCTTTACGATAGAATTGTGGTGTAGCTCAATTAACAATACAGATAAGAGTCAGGTGTTTTACGCGGGAGTGGAGAGGCTGCATGCTACGTAGATGTGTCGCAGGAATACTCAGAAAAGTATCGATCATGCATGAATGACCTTTTGAGCAGATTAGGTATTCGATCGTAAATCGTGTGAATTTGGCGTTGTGGCAACAAAGCAGTTACTTAGTCTCGATTCAACACTTACGCGTCGGTTTCCGCAGAAAAATGCGAATCGACAGCTAGCTACATAATGTGAGGTAAGAAAAAATTATGAGAGGAATAAAGTCGGGATAAACCAAACATAATCTTGGGAACACTCTTTATCTCTTGAAGGAAAGTGGTGGCCCCGCCCCCCTCGCCCCCTCCCTCGCAAGGACCTCGAATGCCACACCAGAAGACGGGTTCCGACCTCTACATCTGAACACGGCACGCTCGTTTACTTCCCCTGTGTAGCAGCAACGTGTACCCCGGAAGCTCCTAGTCAGCAGAGGGTGTGTGCTACAAATCAACGATGCACAATAAAAGCGAAAGGGTAAGCACACTCGCTTGCGCCTTGCATTGAACTAAACCAATGTACCGCATGGAACACGAAAGCGAAAGAAAGAAAGACGAAAGTGTCAAAGATCCTAAAAACCTCCCTGCCCACCATTATTCACCATTGTCATCACCCGTTTGGTCGTCGGCTAGATGAATGTCAAGGCCGGCGATCCCCGATTCTTCACCGGGGAGTGCACGGCACGAAATGAAAATATCGCGTGGTACATGGCACGTAAAAAAACGGTAACACACGTCGTCATTCGGCGGGCGGCACTCAGCGTGTCAAATTGATCACCATCCCCCCGACCGTGACCCATCCGCCCGCACCCCCCCCCTGTGACGAAGAGGGAGCCGCCGTGGCACCCCCCTGCGACAGAGAGGGAGCCGCCGTGGTTCCGGATGCAGCCGGTCCGAAATCAGAAACTCGCGTGTTGAACGACGACGAAGCGTACTTGTCCCCGCGCCCCGCGATCCTCTTGAACTTGTTCGGCCCGAGTTTCTTGGGAGCGCCGGCCTGACCATCCACTGGGACAGGAGGTAGCAGCGTGTCATCTTCCTCCAGCGTGGACGGCACAGGCAGCATGACCTGGTACGCGTCGTCGCCGTAGGTCTGGCGGTGGTATTGTAGGCCATAGGCCGGGTGCATCAGGGTCATGACAAGGCCATAGGCCGGGTGCATCAGGGTCATGACAAGAATCTTGTCATGACCCTGATGCACCCGGCCTATGGCCTACAATACCACCGCCAGACCTACGGCGACGACGCGTACCAGGTCATGCTGCCTGTGCCGTCCACGCTGGAGGAAGATGACACGCTGCTACCTCCTGTCCCAGTGGATGGTCAGGCCGGCGCTCCCAAGAAACTCGGGCCGAACAAGTTCAAGAGGATCGCGGGGCGCGGGGACAAGTACGCTTCGTCGTCGTTCAGGGGGCAACATGGACAACGACAGAAGAGGGAAATGACAGCAGTGATAAAGCGTGGTTAGTTTCTGCCGACCGCGGCCGAGAGGGATACTGACGCGCGACGGCGGACTGACCGAAAGCAAAGTATCGTGCCATCTGTTTTCCAATCATGGAGCATCAGAAGGAATACATTACTACACATCTTGGCATCATCGGTTAGACTTTGGCTTTCACGTATTGTGGCCGAAGCACCGCATGTAAACACGACCTCGAAGCTGTCGTTGCGGCTGCGGGTGTGTGAATCACTTTCGAGAAAGGGTCCTAGTTCGTTCAACTGGAAGTACGCGAACGTAGACCGCGTATTTCTTGTGTCATCAAACACTTGACCGAGCGATTCCCGTGGTCAAAGGCTACGCTGCCTAAAAAAAGGTATTATTACAGGCCAGATATTGTAGTTCATTCATCCCCCGGCTCAATCTTGGTATTCCACAGACTGGTACAATCTTGGTACTCCACAAAGATCGAGAAAATACACTATGCGATGAAGACGGGACAAAAGAGATATACAAAAAACATAACCACGCAGGAAAACACTAAAATGAAGAGACACACAGATAAACAAAAGACCCGCCACAATGACAAGAGAACAGAGACAGAGCATGCAGCGCAAAAACAGGTTTGCCGTGTGAACACGCGAATAAGCACACAAGTGATCCGATCGATTCCGCGACAATATACTCACAGAGTGCTGCTGGAGGGCTCCTAGCAATATTAGGTTCACGTTCATCGTTTTTTTCGGTCACAAGACTACTGTTGTGCCCACTAGGTACATCGCTCACCTCTAGCCACGGCAATGACGTCGCAGCAAGGGATCTGGAATCTCGCGGGGAACCCGCATGTGCAGGACAACTCCGTCTTCTCCCCCGGCTCGCCCCACCTCAGCAGGACCCTGTTGCCGCGGGTATTGAGCGTGGCGAGGTTGGTGTTCTCGACCGTATAGAACTGGTTGCTCGTGGGGGAGGCGACGAGCCTGGAATAATGAACGTCGCGTGGCAAAGGCGTGCATGTGAGTACATGTGAATCTCGGCGACGTGCGTGCACCTCGAAACATGTCATGAAACACCCACCCGTTGGCAACCCACCACCCCTCCGTGCAAGTACAGGAGAGTCCTCCAGGAATTAGGTTGTCTCTTCGAAACCACAAGAGGATATACCCATACACAGAAAAACCCAAACGCGGCCGTTCATTCTCCACTCTTGTCACTTACCCGGCGGGCTTTTTCCTCTGATCTTCGAACGTCGCGGCAGCATAGGGTGTCCATGTGCCATTGCCGAGGGTGGAACGGTGGGCGAACTTCTTGGCGGTATCAGCGAGGATGCTCCTCATCAGCTCAAATGGCGGTAGTTTCCTAGCCTGTGAGAAGTCATCGCCGAATAAGTTGCAACATGATCAAGCTACGTTTGAAACGTAGCCAACCATGCTCGCTTACTTGCTGTGGTCGACACGGGGCGTCGCATTGGTACAAGAGAATCACCAAAACAGGGTAGGGGTGCACCAACAACTCGAGCAATAATGCGCGGGAGCGCGGGGGGTGCGGTGAAGGGGTCGTGGGAGGCGCACGTGTAAATTTGTGTCCATTCACGTCAGCGAAAAAGCCTTGTATTCAGGTTCTTTCCTAAAAAAACAACTCCTATCGGTCTCTTCACTGCTACGCAAGGTGCGCTTGCCTTCCAACGAGTGGGTGGGTGTCCCTGACATGGAATCTACAGCAACGTGTTCGAGTCTTCGCGACTCGTTGTTCGATCAATACTGCTACCGATCATACATGGTACACAACAAACGGAACGAACATCGTCCTGGCATATTGGTACTTTCGTACTTACAACACCGATCCCGGCAGCCACATAAGAAGTACCTCGTGCGACGAGCACCCTTACCTCGACACCAACCGCCGAATTGGTTTGCTCCGAAAGGTTGTTCGTGACAACGTCTTGGAGTGCGGTGTCGGGGGGGGCACCAGAGTGAGCCCACTCATGCCTCTTCCAATCGTCAATGATCTGGACATAGGCGCGAGGCTTGCTCGGTAGAACGTGCTGCTTCAGGATGTCCTCGAATTGTTTCTTCGTAGTAGCTCTGGCGACGAAGAATACCCATGAGTTGGCATTCTGGGCAGACAAGTTAAAACATGAGAAGGAGGGGAACGGGCAAAAGAGGGAGAAGGGACAAAACAAAGAGGGGCTCCTCAAACACAACAAAATAGAGCAGTAACGCACCCAAGGAAGTCGCAGCGCATCGGCAAGTGCATCAACAGCAGTGGCGCCTGTACTTGCCGACACCCAATGCAGCAATACCAAACGTCAAGTCCACGGCTAGCACAAAACAACGAAGCCAATGAACTAACACAAGCCCCGCAAACACACGAGTAAGGACTGGCTGAGCAGTACCAAAAAGATTGGTCGATGGGGCTCAATCTGTTTCTTCGGCGTTGTTGACATTTCCTCTGGGTTACTTCTCCAAAATGAAGTTACCGTGACGTGGACTTGTCGAAGCTGGAGGCCTCTGCCATGGACGTCTAAAGGCGGTACTCACACCCCAACAAACGCGTCGCGCCGCATCTCGCGGGGTTTATTCCCGAGTGAACAACTTGCTACTTGGGTGCAGCTAGTCGAGGAGAATTTGGTGTGTAAGCGTGCCTGAAAATTTGAATGATTGCCATGGACTTGCCATGGACTTGCTCACCCTACACATATCGAAGGCTGCACAGCTGGGACAATCGTGTCTGGCACATGATATAAACGCGGCATAGATTCGGTTGGCGCATCTCGTGGTACGCTCCTGGCGGCAATACAGGTGACGATGTCATGGTGAGCTGAACAAGCGCGTGTGTTTACGACATGGCGTAGAAATGGGGGGGGGGCGCCTGAGTACCTTTTTTTCCCGACCACCTCGTTCTCACAGTGACTGCTGTCGATCCGTAGGGTTCAGATATTCCAGCAGAAGAGCGCTTCAAGAACACCGCCCCAAACCCCAACAACTCATACCGGGTTTTTGAGAAGGCAAGGGATTAACCAAGACAACACCAAATCTCACATCTGACGACACCTACGAACTGCTTGATAATGTACATCACAGACACCCACCCCTCGCTTCTTACCACACATCCCAGCCTCCCACTCGTCAACAACATCTCAAGCACATAACATCATACTTTTACTCACGCTGCCAATCTCCTCCTCTAAGTTCAGGAGGAGGTGCCTCAAGCAGTACCGGTGCTGCGCCAGCGGGGCCTCGCCCCGCAGCGCACAGGTCGCCCCCTTGTGCTGGTCCGTGAAGAAGGTTGTCTTCGAGTCTTCCAGCAGGTCCCTCATCTTCGGGTTCTTCCAGTTGCGCAGCAAAGTCTTGTGGAGGGAGGTGTCCTCCTTGGGTCCGATCACTGTCGCGACGTGGCTGTTCTCGTTGTTGGCGTCCTTGCACGTCAGCGTCAGCATCACTCCGTTCCACTCTCCCTTGAGGTGTCCCCCATCCATTCCCACGACCTGAGGACGTTTTCTATAGAGCAAAGAGGGAGGGAAAGGGTCAAGGCAATTCGTCAAAACGCAAAATCAATGCTAAGGGCGACATGCATACTTAACGTCGCTCTGCAAGAAAGGCAGGGGCAACATACAGGTTTCAACACGACGGACGACCTTCGCAGATCTTCGCGTCGATCTCTTTCGAAGGAATGGGAACGTGTTTGCGCAGGGGAACAGGGAGATACAAAAGTCTTGAGCGGTGGCGTAGGGGCATCGACCCGTCTCACCCGGCCTCAAAGGAAACAACTTAGGTCTTCGAGATAAACCACCAACAAGAAGACGCCGATCTCCATCGATGCCGGCAATGATTCGCAGGTTGTTGGAGTGGAAAGCGGGCACCACGCAAATAGCAAGGCAACAAAGATGGTGAGTGCCGATCCCTGTATCGTTTACTATACCCTCCCCCGGTACCCCCGGGGTTGAGTTTTAGTCGCTTGGCAACGACGTTGAAAACAAGCCGATCGCTTCGTGAGCTCGACAACCAGGTTACCGCATTTTTTTTTTGGCGTCGTTTGTTTTTGCGGTAACCGTAATGGAACCCTCACTCCGCAAAGGGGATGATCGCACCACGTCGTGTCAAATTGGGCGAGCACCTTCGATGCAGTTCCACAGTGCTCATAACTGTCTCTGGAAGTGCAAAGAGCAAGTCAAAACACCAGAAAATAAAATGATCATGTCATTTGCAGCTGTCATCCGTACCCAAGGAAGTAAGCACAAAATGCCGAACACCCTAAGCAGGATGCAGCGCACCCTTCGTGCGACTCGCCGAATCCTCACGGCGCTTCGCGCTTGGTGATGTGAGAGCCTGGTCCGGTGAGAACCCGGCGTGCTCCGTCCCGCTTTGTAGGTATTCGAGGTCAATGGTCTAATGACTACGGCATGCGTTTACATCAGTACATCTCCCCCCCCCCTAGACTAGGTACAAGAGGGGTAAGGGGGGCCCAGTGCGCTCTTCCGCCTATGATACCCCAGACGGTTGACCACATCCTCGTGAACACATCTCCGGGCGCGCAAATGACAATGACACTCGACACAAGGGTTTGACTGCATTCAACATAGTCTACGTGGTGTTAGAACAGAAATAGATATGAAATTCCAAGGGTCGGTTTAGTTGTTGTTGTTGTTGTTGTTGTTGTCTTCACATTAAACCGTATGTCAGTTGCCAAATGCCAAAATCTAGCAAAAGACTCTCAGCCCGTGGTCACGAAAGCGCTAGAGCCATCTGAGGATCTAAAGAACACGCACACATATAACGAGAAAAAGGTATCCAAGAGCCCGAAGAGGTACACCTTAAGATCCCTGCAGCACCGTATGCGTGCCCAAAAACTGAACTGCACGTCCGTCCCACCGTTCGACTACAGTAGCATCACCCCCTCCCTGTCCCACTCTATACCAAAACGGAAGATTGCCGACTACAGCATA